GTTCTTCGGTTTCAATTTCAAGTGAGTCCCTCGAGAAGTTGTTTACTTTGGGTTTCCGTTGGATGACATGTCTGTAAGTTCGCACATAGTTAAGCAAATGCGAGGCCGACCGATCTTCGTACCTTAGTGCAACTTTGATATCCCTCGAATGCTCTTTCTCTGACCTCCTTTTTAGCTTCTTTGAACCTGCTAGTACGAACAATAACACTTAAAAAAAAAAATCACAGGCGATAAGCGAATGGATAAAAGGAAACTAAAATAAAGAATGACCTGGGTGGCCGTTCTCTTGTGGAACCCGCTTCAATCGGCCCACCTCCTTGGCCGCAAACTCCCAATTACCTCCGACTTGAAGGAAATCAGAGCAATGCTTGTCATTATCAGGAAGTTCAGTAACAAGTTGGAGGTCCAACAACTGAACTTTGACATAATAGGTTTTACCGCCTTTATTACGACACAAGGAGTAGCAATGAAGGATATCCCAAATACCCAAGTCCAAGTCTAAAAGGTCGTTCAAGACCGAGACACCGTTTACTATTCTAAATGTGTTCATTGATATTTGCATTGGTGTAAGTTCAAAATAAGAAAAGAATCGACGCAACAAAGGGTTCAACGGAAACCTAACACCCCCCTCTACGATGGAGGCAATTGAGAAGGGCATTGTGGTGCTCGTACACGACCGATCCGCGTCTACCGCCGCCAATGTCAACGTGACATCATTGGGAATGTTATATCTTCGGCGGAACTCATCCATTCCCTTCGGGGTGTCCACTAGGTTCCGAAACTTACCCATGGGAGGTGCGACGTTCCACCAAACAACTACACTAAGGATGACTTGCAAGGTTGGAGGTACAATGACCGACCGAGAAATCGTATGCTAGACAACTCCTAATGTTACACTTAGCCAAAAAGTAATGGTGAAGGTGGAAAATAAATACATGGATTCTAGGACTTACGGTGTCAAAATCAAGAGGAACTCGATGGCGAGCGTCTCCGATGAAGCAATCCCACTGTGGCAACCAAGAGAAAAATTGTGAGTTGCAAAAAAATAAATAAATAAATAAAAATAACAGTGGCTGAGGACTTACAAAATAGTGTCAACAACATGAATCAATAAATTACAGTGGCAAACCCACTGCGAGGGATGGAGTATTTTTGGTGAAAAAGCAGCTTTGGAATAGAGGCACAAGAAACAGTGCTACAAGCCATGGGCGACGAGACAACGGTGGGTTCATTCCATTGAAAATGCACTGCGCAAGACACTGGAGAAGCCTGGACCAACGTGAAATAGAGAAGAGATTGGTCTCTCTGACTTGAAAGTCTAGAGAGAGGAAATGGGAAAACCAAAACGTTGGAGGAAGGTATCAACTTTCTGAAAAGAAATTCAGAATTTATAAGAAGAGTCCCATGGTCAAGCTCTCATATTTTAAAAATTGTTTTAAAGTTCCAACGAAAGAAAGCGTGAGAATAAAAACAAAGTCAGAGCTTTGTTCCAAAAATGGGTACTGTTGCACTTGGAGTCAAAAAGTGAGGCAGCAAAGAAATGGAAAAAATGGGTCTGGAAATTCAAATTTCTAGAGTGAGAAAGTGTTAAATAAGGTGGGTTTGCTTGTTTTCAAGAAAAACTTTGAATTGGGCTTGCTTTTACGTCACGTTGGCAGCTCCCAAACTAATCAAATAAGGACGCGTGATGGCTCGACAGTCGAAGTGAGTACATTGGACAGGGCTGAGCTTAAGGTTCGGTGACAAGGCCAAGATCACGGACAACCGAGCTGCGGTGCTCACGGACGGGTCAATTGAAGCACTTTAGACCGAGCTAAAGGACATTATTTCAAGGTGGTACACAAATCAAGTTCCATTTCCAGCTTTGGTAGTTTTGTAAACGGTTTGCGCCTTCAAATAAGCAACGTATCACTTTGCTCTACGGATACATTTGATTCATTGGATGCCAGTACTGAAGATGATGGTGGCCAGCCGAGCACGACTCTGAAAAGATGTAACCGAGCACAAATTAGAGATCACCAAGCAACGTGAAAGCTGGTGTGAACCAAGCTACGGAGTAACGGCAACCGATCGAACTCATTCGTCGACGGCGATGAACCAAGCTAGCAACCGAGCTGTGAATTTAATGTGATGCTCCTCTAAGGCCGAGCAATGGCAAACCCACGGCTGAGCAACAGTCCAACCGAACAACAAAGGCCACAGAAGAAATTTGCTGCTGGACATGAAGAAAGATGATGACCAAACACGAATGAACCGAGCAAAAATGGAGGAAGTCGAACGACGCAGAACAAGAATTGGAAGACCGAAATAAAAAGACCGAATTGAGCAGATGTCGTGTGTAAATTAAGTGGAGTTGCTCGGCCCATTAAGTGTCGGAAAAGGGTCGACCAAGCAGCAAAGATAACCGACCAAGTTGTAACATGCATGAGGTAGGCCAAGCTAGGTGTGAGTAGAATCTATGGATTGAAATGAATCGAAGCTGCGCTAGGCCGAACAAGACGCAAGTCTGACCGAGCTACGACGCTCACGAGCAAACCAGCCAAAATATTTCCAACCGAGCAGCAGTCAAAGACATGGCCAACCAAGCTCGGAAGGGATGAGCGGGATCATGAAGAGCTACGACGTGTAGAGGGCTGTGGGCCCATTCAAATTGAAAACTACTGATATCCACTCTCAACAATGATGTTTAATTCCCGAATATGAAATGGCCTACAATGGACCAGTCACGCACAAACAAATTGAGCAGAGGAGATGAAGTATGGGCTGAACAAAGTGCAGCATGATCGAGATATTTCGAAATAAGTCAAAGAGCTCCACCGATTGGGCAATAGACAACCTTTATAAACTCTGTCAAAACCGAACAAAAAAGGTGGCCAAGGAAGAAAAGTGCTTCTGGATATGAAGAAAGTTGATAACCGACCAAGGAAGAAAAATAATGTTAATTATGGCCGAACAGAGTAAAGGAATGTGACTTGGTCGACCAAGCATAGAGGCCGCCAACAATTTCTTACAAGTGGGACCGAACAAACAGAGACAATGTTTTTCAAATAAGGACAGAACAAATGTATTAAATAATGTTGAGTTGCTCGGCCTCCAACACCTTGCTCGGTTAACCAACGTGTAGACCAACCTAGCAAAAATATTCATACTATGATCAAAGCATGAAAGTCAGCACATGGTCCACCAAACTTTTCCATGGCAAGCTTGAAAGTTTGATTAAGTGGAGCACCAAATTTGTAGGCCCCACGCCAATTTCACCAAGAGCAACACAATGTCAAGTCCCCAGCAAATCATATTTATATGCTATTACCATGCATGGCATCAAGGTAGAGCCCACAAAACATTACCCATCTACATTATCAAGAACAAATTAGAAATTGACTATGTTATGGCACGCTTGGCTTGCTTTGAAGCACGTTGTTTTGCTCGGTCAAATTGTTGAACTTTGGAAATATATATATGTACCCAAAAAAAAAATAAAAATAAATTGTGTATGTATATTTTCAAATTTAAAAAAAAAAAAAAATTGTGTATATATATATTTTTTCAAGTCAAGCAATGACGCTTAGCCGACTGAAAGAGCACCAAGCTAGACAATTACAAGGCTAGTGAAGACACATTTAGCTTGGGGGCACAACTGAGCTACGAAACATTGGGCAGACGCAAACGTTGGACCGAACAATAATTTTGAATCTAACTCACGGAGCTTAAATTCAGTTGTGATCAACCAAACTTCGAAGTTTGTGACAGAATTGGCTTCCGCTTCACCAAACGTAAGTGCAAGCCAGGGGGCAAATGAAGTGGGTAAAAATTAATCAAGTCTTGGTGCTAGGCCCAATGCGATACTCACTCCAAGGTGGAGCTAGGTCGGACCTCAGCCCTATGGCCAACACTTGCTCCGAAGCAAGACAATCATAGGAGTTCGGCCTAATGTACGAGCGCCATTCCGAAGTGGGCCGAGCAACACGGTGGACCTCCTGGACGGACAGCCAACCACTCCGAAGTAGGTTGAGTAACATGTTGAACCTCCTGGACGGACAGCCAACCACTCTGAAGTAGGTTGAGTAACATGTTGAACCTCCTGGATGGACAGACAACCACTCCGAAGTGGGCTGAGCAACATGTTGGACTTCCTGGTTGGACAACCATTCTAGAGTAGGTCAACTCGAAGAAGACCAATTCACTGAAGATCTTTCTTGGGCCCACAAGAGACAAACAACTCTGCTTCTCTCCCTCTGTATGAACAGAACGTGGAGACATGGAGGTGCAGAGGGACAAGGTGCATATATAACTGACCTGCATCTGAATGGCAGGCGGAGTGGTCGTCCTCCTCCAATAAGAGATGTCCGCTAATGAGACAAACAAAACAGGCCTGCACCCGAGTGTCAGGCGGAGTGGTCGTCCTCCTCCAATGGGAGACGACCACGAATAAGACACATTGGACAGATGGCGGAGAGAGAAGGACTTGAACGACAAACAACCTTCTCCTATAAAAGGTTAACACTATTCACTCTCAAGGGATCTAAAAAAATCCACACACTTAACACATATACACTCTTTGTATTCTCTCCTCTCTCTTTTTCCTCTCCCTGAGTCCCTGACTTTACCATCGGAGGGGTTTCCGACCAAACCCCGGTCGGGCTGCCTCACCGTTTGTTATTCTATGTAGATCTTCAATTCCCAAAGCCTGCTGTTCATCCACGAAGTTCAACCCTTCTTCATAGTGCGGAAATCACCCCTGCACAATGATTTTCTTGTAATTTTGTAGCTAGGCTTCACAAAGTTGGATTAGGTGTTTATTATTTTAAAAAATTACTTTGTCCATTCCATGGAATAGGATTTGTATCAGGAGAATGTGGAAAACTAGGAATGACTCGTTGTAAATTCAAGCATCCAATTGTCCTCCTCCACCCTGCAAACCCAATTATTTGTAGTTTGTTTTATGTTGTGCTTGTAATGATGCCATGCATTTTTATGCTTATTGATATTAATTGTTTCAGTGCGTCTACTGCTGACTTGAGCTTCAATTCAGATGGGTCTGCTGTAAACCCGGCAGCCTTCCAGCAGCAAATCCGACGTGATTCTAATACGATGGCACAACTATTTCAGGTAGCGATTAGTATTTTGTTACTTCTGCATGAGTAAAATCTGTATACGCATACTCAAATTAGTATCTACCATTTGATAGAAGTTTGGCAGCCAGAAAAACGAGTTACTTAACAAATATAGTCATGCATCCTGACTTGACATCATGGTTAGCTGGTTGGTGGTTGGCAGTTGACCTTGACTTATTTGTAGAAGTCTGTATAAATTTCAGAGATTGGAATTCTGACTAATTTTCTTGTGGGACTCAAATTTTGATAATTATAAATCCTGAAAAACTCTGAAGGTGGAATCAAGTGCATTAATAATATTTTCCTTTTTAGAAATTAAAGATGTCTTTTCGTAACAAATTACATTTTATAAAATGTGGTTCTTATGCTCAAAACACAATATATTTTGGTTGAGAGTGTTAAAACCATGAATACCTTTTTTCTTCTTATTATTATTATTAATTTTTTATTTTTTTATTTTTTATAGAAGGAACATAATTTTGTTTTGTTTTTGTTGTGTTGTGTTGTTTGTTTGTTTTAAATTATAGCAAATTAGCAATTATTTCCTTTATGGTAAATTTTTTGTTTTTTTGTACATAAAGTCAATGTACCAATGATAATTTATATCCCAGGCTGATTGTATGTTTTTTATGGGTTTATGAAGATAATGGTCCATTTTTTTCTGTTTTTAATTGCGGAATATCCCATTATTGTCTGAAAAAAAATTGAGTGTTCAGATGTAGGGATTTTGTTCTTTGTGATATATATATTTTTGCCTTTAGTTCCTTATGTTTATTACATATTTTATCTCATTGTTTCCAATTAGATTTGTATTATTAATAGTCTTATTAAATTATAGTAAAGGTTAAGATAAATAACTAGTTGATAAATTGTAACAGAATATTCATATAAGTATATATAGTGTTCATTCCGGGTAATTTTATAACACGAGTGCTTTTATTAACATTTCGTATGTTTGAGTTAAACTATCCAGCTTTTTTGTCAAAGAGGCTTTGGTCCTGCATTTGTCGATTACAGTATGTGCTTTTGCATTGTACCATACTCAATCCGTATGTTTCTGAATGTCCACGTGAAATTACAGGCTGATCCTGAACTTGCTCAAGCTATTATTGGAAATGACCTCAATAAACTGCAGGATATTTTAAGGGAGCGACATAGCCAAAAATCTGAATTACGACGTCGACAAGAAGAGGAGCTAGTAAGTACTTGTATTACTGACTTCCCTTTTTCATTCCTTGGTGCTTATAGAATCTTCCATATTTCCTCAAGTTTTATTGAATTGATTAGTTTCTCCTTCACTCTTTGCAACTTATAATGTCATAATTTCACAACAGTAAGATTTTCCAAAGGTGTTTTGGAAACTCATGTCAAGGGAATGTGCTTATTTAATTCCTTTTGGCGAAATGTCATTAAATGTAATCCTTATTTATGAGCCTAGGTTTAGTCTGAGGTGTGCCAAATGCATCTTTTTACATGTAGCCCATAGATGCCTTGTGTGAAGGATTCTTTGAATCTGGTGACTATACATGTACATAACATAAATAGATATTGAACTTTTACAGCCACGTTAGTTATTTTAGTCGACCCATGTTTTGCATGTTCTTTATAGGTGCAATCCTCATAATGTTAATGTTGCACCTTTGTGGAAGTATGTTAGCGTGCTCTTAGATTGTCTAGTAATGCTCATATATATGACTAGTGAAAATACGTTTTTCTTACCATTTCCCCCCTTCATTTCTTAATGGTAGATCCCTGGACGATTTGTACTTTATAATTTATAAAAGAGATATCAATGTGACCTTTGTGAAGTACCTGTAAGACATCATACTTATGTCTGAGATTGCACTAATTGCTCCTCTGACTCAGACCTTTTCATTGCATAAAATTCCTTGGGTGCAAAAGGTAGTTCTAACGTAAGCATTTACACTAACCATTTTATACTGCAGCTGATTCACCCATGTTCTCTTTATTCTGCAACATAGGCACTTCTCTATGCAGATCCTTTTGACGTAGAAGCACAGAAGAAAATTGAAGCTGCAATTCGCCAGGTTGGTTATTTTATTATTAATTTTCCCATGTAATAGTGATGCCATTTATAGTGAGATATTTATTTGGGGAAAATATTAGCAGAGTCCATCCTTGTTTGCATGTGAGTTTGATCTTATTATATAGGTCAGTGGGAGTACGGAAGATAGGAAAACCAAATTTTCTTTTTCCCTCTTATTTTGGAACAAATGTAAAAAAACTTTTACACATGAAAGTGGCTTATCGATTTGATCTTGGTATAATGGCTTTTCTGTCCTTGGTTACTTTTTGATCTCACTTTTATTGTTTTCTTTCATCTTCTTTCCCACCCCCTGTAATAATGCATACATGTGAACCCATTGTCTAATTTCAACTTTCTATGTTAAGATTGTTTTGTTTGGAAGGTTTCTGGGTCTTATGCGTGATGCTAGGTCTAGTTCATCATTGAGAAGAGAGTTGCATCTTAGTTCTACATGTGACGAATGCCAAGTCCATCCCAACATATGTGCTTGTTTATTTATTATTTTTTATATTTCAAAAATAAGCTTGTCATTTTGGTGCTAGAAATTGTATTTAGTAGACTACGAGTACTTTCCTTGAATATGTATCTGAAACCCAGACAGTAATATAAACATTTTACAAGAAATTACCACTGATTGTGTTACTTATCTTGTTAGTTTTTTTCCCCCTTCGTTCTATTTGTCCTCTCAAATAACTACTTTCCCTTTGGTTCTTTGCATTGTTTTTAAATGGCTTGCAGAAAGGTATTGATGAGAACTGGGCAGCTGCTCTTGAACACAATCCTGAAGCTTTTGCAAGGGTGGTATGTGTAATTGACTGCCACATGTAAAAACTGTACTTATTATTTCTTGGTAAATGAGTTTTAAATTATTTTTGAACTTTTCAGGTCATGTTATATGTTGACATGGAAGTCAATGGTGTCCCTTTGAAGGTAGTGACAAGGGAACTAGCATGGTTTGCTTCCATGCTTTTCTATATTTTTTATCATTACACTTGTTTTTAATTCTGCATGCAGTAACAGCCCTGTGTTTCTTGTATTGCCTGCTAAACATTTTTTTTTCCCCCTCTCTTGGAACATGCTTTCTTGGTCTTTAATGCAGTTGTTAAGTACTGCGCTCTATGTTGTTTTTCTTGCACAATCCAACGATTAATTGTTGCAGATAGCTTACAGTTCAAGTTTAGAAGTTTGAGTCGGTGATCTTGAGTAGTGTAGCTTGTTACTTTGTATTTTAAAATCCTCTTCCCTGTTGCTTTGATTGATTGTAGACTTTTTGCTTCACTTCCTTTCAGGCGTTCGTTGATAGTGGTGCTCAGTCAACAATCATATCTAAAAGCTGCGCTGAGCGCTGTGGGTAAGTTCTATTTATTGCACTTAGTTCTGAACAATTATACCTTGCTTCCTTAGAAAGATTAGTAATGCAGATTAACATACAAAAACCTGCGCGTGCTTGAACTACCTGTAGATGCATGCAAACACCTGATTAATATTGGACTTTTGTACTTGTGTAGAACAATTCTAAATGAGCAACCAATCCATTTCATTCCTATCGAATTGGCATCTCTTCCATGTGTTCTTAGTTTGTTTTGCGCTATTTTAGGGTAGGCCAAATGGCAATGTGGTGTGAATATGAATCATGGAGTAGAATGACATTGTGGCAGGGATATGAATCATTGACATTACCCATGCCCATTACATAGATGAACCTCTCTGAAATTAGTGGTTATAACTTATAGCTTATTATGTGATTGCTCAAGTTAAGGTAGTGTCTGGTGTGCAAATTTATGTGATTTCTGTGAGTCTGTGCCGTTGTCTTATTGATATAATTCAAAAGATGGTTGACCCAGAGGAAATGTGAAGTGAAGTTTTCATTGTTGTACCTTTGTCATTTGGAAGAGATCTTTCTATGGCTATTGCACACATTATTCAGTTGGTAACTAGGTAAGATGGAGTTGAATAATGCCATTCGTGTTTTAATACATTATAGTTGGGTAACCGGCTTAAGCTAGCTACTACTTGTATTTTTTTGTTTCCTCCATTTGTAAAGATTGTCATCCTGGTATTTGAGTTTTGGATCTTCATGTGTTCACTTAATCCAAGGCCTTATTTATTTATACAATAATGTGGTGAAAGGTATTCTTGCAACTCGAGAGTGGGAATTTGGAAAGTAAGGACTTGAATACTTAACAAACAGTTGACTATATAAGAGACCTTGAGACTTGTTTGCTTCAAGATTACGAAACAGCATATAGGAAATTACATAATGTTTTAGCTGAAGAATTCAGTACAGTGCAAACAAGCCTTGTAAATGGGGAAAAGGGCCAAGCCCTGGTTCAACACACCTTTTCTACCTAAAAACTGCAAACAAGCTAAAGAATCCAAGAGCTCCAATAGAGACAATCTTCTAAATTTTCTTGATCCTGATGACTGATAGAAACATTTTTCCTATGCACTTCTGTGGGCATAGATTGTTAGTGATTCATGTTATTCATTTTGTCATGATCATTGTTTTCTACTTTGTCTACACTATAGTATGTTTAAGATCTAAGTGAAGAAAGGCTTATTGTCATTGATACATCCTCTTGCAGATTGTTGAGGCTTATGGATCAACGTTATAAGGGCATTGCTCATGGGGTTGGTCAATCGGAGATATTAGGTCGGATTCATGTTGCTCCAATCAAGGTAATGTCCATACCAGTTTTCTAGGGGAGTTGCTTTGTCGCCTTTGATTTTCTGATCTGTAGGCCTCAATGTCTGCATGTGCATGCACGCCTACTTGTGTTTATGGATAATCTGATGTGTTTTGCTTTTCTATTGTTATACTTCTCTCAAAGCACATTTAAGTGTGAAAATGGAGAGCATGTTTGACACCTGTTGACTTCTTGTTATTCAAATGTTTCATAATTTACTGATTGGGAAATATTTGAGTACTTGGTTTAGTGACAATCTATATTTTGTTGTTGCCTGCAATTCATGTGTCATCTTCAGTAGTTGGAGGTTCTCCTCTTTTTCCTTACCCCATGCTTTGTATGTTCTGTGTGTGTAAGCAAGGTGTGGAAAAATATTGTGCTTACCTTTAGTTTGTAATTACAGGGAAGCACATCTCTCATTTGTGCGCTCTTAGCCTTACAGGTTATTATTAGTTTGAAATATGTTGATGAATATATGACATGTATCTGATTTCTCTTTAAAAAAAATTCTTTACTATGCGAGATGAAAGTTTAGTATCTCTTTTTTGTACTATTGTAAACTTGTATGCTAACATTTTATCTTTGTTTCTTTCTTCTTTCTTCTTTTTTTTTTTTTTTAAAAAAAAACATTTTTAGATTGGGAATGTGTTTTACCCTTGTTCCTTCGTGGTTTTGGATTCTCCTAATATGGATTTCCTTTTTGGGCTGGATATGCTTCGTAAGCACCAGGTAACATGGTTATTCTTTCAAGCTGTTTAAATTTATGACTTTCTCCAAAATCCAGAGTGGTTAAATAGTTAGTTCTAAATAGCTACTGGTTGCAGTGCATAATTGATTTGAAGGAGAATGTCTTGAGAGTTGGTGGAGGAGAGGTTTCAGTACCCTTTTTGCAAGGTTGTTTTGTGTTTCCCACACTATCTGCACTACTTGCGTTATTTACTTTTTCACTAGTGGTTAATTTCCATTGAATTGATTTGTTTGTCTGTGATTTCTGGATTTTTTGAAAAGCTTAAATTTTGGATTTATTTCAGAAAAAGACATTCCAACTAATTTTCTGGATGAAGTTGCAAAGCAAGCCTCAAGCTCTGGAGCACAGGTAGGGATATTCCTGACCATGTGCTTTCACTAAACGGATTATACTCTGATAATTGCACTGTGTGATGGTTTAGCATATGTTCTATATTCTTGTTTTCTTATTCTCTTTATCTATTAAATGCTCAAATGCACATCTGGTAAATATTTGATATATAACTTTGTTGAACAAGTTGCGTAGAAGAATTGCAGAACTTTGCCAGTAGTATTTTATTTTTCTCTTTGAATTGCATTAGGATATTGATTAATTATGGAAATAAAAATTTATTTAAAAAAAAAAAAAAACCATGAAGCCTAAAACCCAAGTGCAAGAGTTTGAAGGGATGGTCTGAGAAGTTTAATCAGAAAAGTAGTTTTTGTTTGGTTCGACACCTCTGGTAATGCTGTAATTGGTTGGGCATGCAATGGTCTTTGTTGATTCATAGTACCCATGCTACATCCCTTCTTTCTTCATTTGTTTTGAAGTTGAAGGTTACGAACCTCTGTGTGAGTATTGCATGCGACCTACCGTCTAGAGTGGTTTATGTGAACTGTTGTTAGATTTGGACCTCTGATAGAACATAACTTTGGCTTTGTTCTCCTGTGATTTTGCAGGCTACATCTGGAACAAGAGAGAATAGCAGAACACAAACTGAGGGTCAGTCTTCTAATTAGTTCCAGTGTCCTTATATATGCTTTTATTGCATGCATGGTTTAACATGAATTATTATGCACATTTGCTTTGTTTCTGCAGAATAAAATTTCTTTAATTATAGCATCTAAAGATTGAATTTTCAAATATGACATACTTCGTTGAGTTCAAGGTGTGCTCTTTATCAATTGATGATGTGAAGATCAAGGTTTTAAGAAATTTATCCTTCTGGTTAAACTTCCCTCTCAAATCTTGGATATCAAAGAATGGTATCTCAGGTTGCACGTACTATCTTTTAGGTTTTTATTGTTTTTATTTGGCCATGCCACATGGGTTTACACTCATTCAAAATTCTCGTAAATGAGCTTTTTTGAATTCCTTTTGGTGTTTCAGCCACCTATGTAACCAGAGTTTGATATTTGGGAGACTGTCCTTGCGTAGCGCCTTGATGAGGGGGCCTCTCAGGAGATTGATGTTTACCATTAATAACCTGTCTGATATTTCCTCTTTTTGTTATTTGTCTTCTATTACGCATATTATTCAAATAAATTATATTATGTTCTTTTCACGTAATGAAATTAACTTGTGACAATCTCTCCCTTCCCCCGCAGGTAGTGCGCCTAACCGGTCACAGGTGATTTTACAATTTTAAATCATTTGAATTGCTGCTTATTAGCAAATATTCTGTATTTTATGCATTCTTTGGCTATATATTATTGCTGCATTTTTTTTTTTTAAATTAAAAATTTTAAATGCTGCATATTTCCTTCCAGTAGCTTATACCATCTGGTTAAATACATCATCTCGTTGGTGTTGGGTGTTGAACCGTTGTGACCACAATAAATTTTCAGTAATTAAATGGCTTTGACTGAGATTATGATTTATAAGTACAATCAGGTCATAAATGAAGGTTGTTTGTCTGCAGGGACCTGAATTTGAAGCCAAAGTTACAAGACTGATTGAGCTAGGGTTTGGAAGAGAGGCAGTCGTACAAGCTCTAAAATTTTTTGATGGTAATGAAGACCAGGCTGCTGGGTATCTCTTTGGGGCCTAAAGGTGGTTTTTGTCTTTGTGAGTTTTGTGGACCAAAACTGGTTTCCACAGCGAACTTTTTGATAAAAAAAAAGAGAGAAAAAAAACATTTGTGTCTCTCTCTCAACATTCATTGGGCCTGTGATAGTACCTGCTTACGAAGTGTTGTATTTTGAATGTGAATTAATTTATATTTAAGATTTTTGAGAGCCTATTTCTTTGGGATTGTTCTTTCATGATTCTTCTATTATTTGCTCAATTTTAGGTTCGGAGGTCTAAGGGATTAAAGCTCTTCTAGTTTAATGACCTCAGATTTCTGAGATAAACCTATATATAGCAGTGTGAATCGCGATGCGTTACTTATGGATGGATCAAAATTCAATAGAAGGCAGCCCATGATTCAATATGACCAGAATAGATCATGTTGTGTTTCCATTTTCATTTTGAATTTCATTAGGTTGATGACTTTATAATAGAAGTCTGATGAACATCTTACAAATTACCAAGAGGGACAAAATGTTATAGCAAGAAAATTACAGCTAAGAGGGACAACTTACAAATGAAAATGCTGAACTAACAGATGGTATATTATTTGTTTCATGCAAGCTAAAACCTTCGTATATGCCTCGTCATCTTTGCAAACAATTGTGGCAAATGGAAATATTTTTATCCCCAACAATAATTAGTGAAGGAATAGAGAAAGGGAAGCCAAACTCGTGGCGGTCAAATTTTTGAGTCTTGAATTCAGGCATCATGCCCATCAATTAGGCCAACCCCTTCTGGCAAATGGATTTGAAACATCTTTATATGTTGGAGAAAAATAAAGCCATAGGCATCAACTCCACAAAAATATACAATGAATTTGCTTGTGAGCTACTCACATCTCCCCTTATATTGAAGGCAGATATTATAGTCTCCTTGCGTGTGGAGAATGAATAGCTTGCCACTGAGGCATGGAACCAATCTCGCAACAACGAAGCAAATAAGACAACAAAGCGCTACAGTATGCAGTTAATTGTAACTTCTAGTTATGAAAGTCCAATTTAAAAGAAGTTCATGAAAATCAAAATCAATGGAACTTCTGTTGTTTAGTTTGATAAGCAAAGGTTTACATCAAAAAATCCACGACAATACAATGATGCCCAAACCTAAAATTGCAAACAGAGCCATATTTGGATATAGGCAGCAAAAATCAAATCAAGTTCTGCTCAAGGACTCACACATTCGACAAACTTCTTAAATCTACACCACATTTCGAAATTTTATAACTAGGGGACAGAGCCCAAAACAATGGTAAATATGACGATCAAAACCTTTCTGCCAATCTGGCAGTGACTGCTCTAAGTTTTGAATATACCTTCCCAGCGGGGGACCCTAAAATGAGACTACAGAGCGAATCCCTTGCAATTTTAATGTTGGCAAAAGAACCTAATATATGAATCTTGGTGTCTGCAATAACAATCCGCGTCTTTGTCGAGTTCTCAATGGCAAACTTTGTCTTCCCTCCTTTACCAGACAACCTACCGATCGCACGAGACAGGTGCTCACCTCGAAGGGTTTTCACATCCTTGATCTCAAAGGATTCAACATAAAGCTCGTCCATACGCAGGAGTGCGATAGCATCTATCACATCAAACCCTAGCATGAATGCGTGGACAAAATCTGCACTCTTTTGTAGGTTACTGATATCGGGCGTGTCTGGTTTGGTCTTCAATTCAACTTTGCGAGCTTTGAGATTCATACGGATATCAATCTTCATTTGATCATATATTGGATTGTAGATTTCCATCCATGCTTTCTTGAGGGGCGTGTACCGATGAGGCGGAACAGAAACCTTCCGAAACTGAACTCGACCTTCAGATATCTCGTGAGCTTTCAAAGGCTCAAAATTTGGCTTTGATGGAAAATTTACAGGCTTTGGTTGAGATGTAGGTTTTTCAATCTCCATGGCAGTGGTGCTTTCATTGGCTTGCATCGTTTAATCTCTTGAATAGATGAAGCAAAATCCACTTGAAATATTAAAATCCAAATCGATATTAGATTAGTTAAATCAAGGGCCATACTACATTCAATAACATTGTATAAAGAGCTTATGAAATGACAAAATGAGAATTAGTATATCAGTTGGAATAGATCAAACAATGTTCAAAAGTGCTGTAGCCCACATACAATGTACTAGTTACCAACCCTGGTAAATTTACTGCTCTACACAAACATGGATCGGAGAAAAGAGACACGACACTGGTTTGCGACCCCTACGGTAATGGTAGGAGGTCCACTAACATAAAAATAAACTCAAATGTTCACACGCACACGGATTTATTTCAACTCGGGTATTATTTGGTTGTGTTACAAGTTTTCCATGGCTTCTACAAAAAAAAGAAAAAAAGAAAGACCTTTTCTTGTTGTTAAGGCAAACTTCAAAAAATTTAAAAACAAAAACAAGTGCCAAGCTGTTGTTATGTGTTCAAAATTCTAGAAAACAAAAAACATGAAACAAGAAGGCCCTTGGTCATCTTGCTTTGATCCAAGAGACCACTCCATTCAGGTATTTTCAACACTCAAACTAACAGTTTCAACTCACATGGCAGCTGGAGAACTACCCAAAATATTCAAAAAAATTCCCCTTTTAGGAATTGGTTTAGCCAATATAATCCTCTAATAATTTTTTTTTTTCCCCCTTCTTCATAAAATATGCATACACCTGAAAGTTCACAACTTTTTGGTACAAATATTTCAATAAAAAACTAACGAAAAAAAAGAAGATAAAATTTGATAACAATTTTCAAGAATAACTTAAGGATTCAACTGATTATAAACTATGGAACACTTGATAAATATTTAATGCTCATCAACAAATCAAATTCGATACTGAGATGGTGACCATTCATTGGCTTCCTATCTTCGTGCATACATACAAATACAGATATACATACATATATATATATATATATAGAGAGAGAGAGAGAGAGAGAGAGAGAGAGAGAGAAAGAGATCATCTTTGAAGATTTGCTGAAGGGAATTGAGAATTATGAAGAATAGCTCCTGTTGCTGCGTTTAGGTCAGTCTGCTCTCGTCTTCTTCTTCTTCGTTGATCAAAACCCTAAATAGGGTTAAGCTATGGATGGGCCCGCATATGTAAAGGCCCAAACCGCTATGAACAAGGGAATTTGATTGTGGGCTTGGGTTTTAGAATGTCTGCCTAAGTGCGCCATAATCTCTACTATATACGGGTTTTTTATCCGTCGGTCCTAATAATTTAATTCATTATCTATTAGATACTAAATTTCTATCTCATATATCAGAAAGTCATATTGTATTTTTTTTATCTCGGTTTTACCCATGCTATTATGAATTATGTGGTTTTATTTATTTTTTTTTCTCTCTCTCTCTCTTGCTCTCTCTCTCTTCCCGAAGGATATGGGTTTTGAAAAGTATTTCATGCACTGTTGTGTTGCAAGAGCTATTGATTGTGCCATTGTAATGTTGAGCGGAGATGAAGGGGTCACAACGTTGACAGCGGTGAAGAAGTTTGTGAATAAGACTCGACAGATGAACGGTTGTTTGTTAGTGTTGGTGAACATGAAAGCTACCTCTATGGCCCTTGGATTTGAGAGAGATGGTGTTAGATTTGAGAGAGATCAAGAAAATCGACATGAATAGAGATGGATGTGTCGACATTGACGAGTTCGAAGCTCTGTACCAGTTAATAATGGACGAGCGAGACGAAAAAGAAGACATAAGAGAGGCGTTCAGGGTGTTAGATCAGAACGGTGATGGGTTCATCTAGGTATTTTCAATGCTGGTCGGAGCTTCTATCTTGTTTAAACCAGTGATAAATTTATCAGTAAATTTGTTGAATATGTTTGCTTTTGTATAATACTTGATAAACTAAACAGTGATAAATTTATCATTTGTAATGGTAATTTTCCTTTTGTAATTTTTTTTACAAAAAGTCAGTGATAAATTTATCATTGAATCTGACATCGTCATTGTCATAATCTTCCTCCATAAATTTATCGTTTGTTATGGTGATGATTAAATTTTTCTTCTGCATTTTTTTTGTGTGCAAACAACCAGTGATAAATTTATCACTGAATGTATATTTGATTCTTGTGTTGGTTTGTAATGGTGATTGCTTGATTTTCCTTCTGTAATTTTTTTACAAACAAACAGTGATAAATTTATCATTGAATCTGACTTTTGATTCTTTGTATTGATCTATTAATGTCAAAAATAATGAGAACTATTTTCTAGTAATGGCTTCTCATCTTTCTCCTTCATTCTCTTCACCATGTTTCTTCTTATTTTCTTTTGTTGACACTAGATCTAAGGAGGAGGTTGTGGTAGTAGTGACGTACTTGAGATGAAAAATGGATAAAAAAAAATATTGTCAGAGATAGGAGAATAGTGGCAATAGTGAAGGTTGCTGGAGGTGATCATCAAAGGTTGCCAAATGTTATTGTCGACAATCGGAAATGATTGACAATAGCTGAAAGGGAGATGGTGGGTCATGGTAGTGACATGTGCACAAAGTAGAGAAGTCAAACGTGTGGGCTATTAGGGATAAAATGGAAAGATGGGCTAAATTATTTTGGAACAGGATCTCATGGGTATTAAGTCTGGTCCAAAGGACCGACCTATAACTCCCCCTTATTTTAAAAGGCAGAGAAAGTTAGGGGATTCTATTTACACCAAAAAATTTATTTAGTACGTTGAATTAAAATTTTAATTACTATTATATCCTAATATAAATTTATTAGTAAAGACAACCTCTATTAAATCTTAAAATAAAAAATATTATTTTTTTCTAATACACCCTAATCACATATATGTATTCTTTATATTTATTCTCAAGTTTTAATTGTTTTATCTTTTTCTTCTTTCTTATTCTAAATCTCCAAACCACTCTACCAAAACTCATTATTATTATCAATCAACAATGATTCATCCCACTAAAAACATCACCACTAATAGCACTAATGCATTAAAAAAGTAAAAAAAAAAAAAAAATACAACTCCAAGACCAAAACATCACATCATTAATGGCGGAACCCACTGCCACCTAATTAGTGGGAGCACTAATTAGTGCTCCCAAGCATTTTTCTATTATCAATATCATTATTTTTTTATCCTTGTGAACAAAAAAAAATTGAATAAATTTAAATAATAGATGAGAATAATAATAAAAATTATTTTTTGAAAAAATCCCTCAAAGATGAGGTAAGTATTGACATAAATATCAAAATAGAATTATTTATTTTTATATTCTTTTATACATAAAAATAAATATTCAATTTATTTAATATCATTACTGTTCAAACTTTCAGATTCAAATAATTATTTTTCCTATCAAAAAACACGCACAAGAAAATAAGCAATGGTTAAGCCATCAACTATAATTACGACGCACCTCCACATGAATGACTGACATTAACAGAACTTTGGAATGAACTTGAACAAACATACATGTGTCAATGTTGTTGGCTATCTTGAAATCAGAATCAACAATGTACTGTATCCGAATCAAATAAAATTGTTTGGTATTATAAGTTTAAATATGATAATTTTATTTTTATTTAGACATACTTTGAAGGATAGTTTGAAAAAAATTAAAAAGTATATCGAGAATAACATAAAAACCTAAATAATTAAATAAAGTATATTGAAAAATTAGAACAACTTTTAATAAATTTTTAGGGGTAAATAGAACCTCCCCTTTTAAGTTTTAATGGGCCCGCATATCAAAATTCCCAAACCCCTATAAACCAGGAATATTGATTATGGGCTTGGGCTTTAGTTTGTTTGCCTATATGGGCTATAATCTCTGGTGTTTTAAAAGACAAGAAGGATCCATTTTTTAGTAACAGATGGGCCCGTTCAAAAAAAAGAGAGTAACAGATGGGCCCCAATGAAAAGGCCCAAAGAGCTATAAACCAGGGAAATAAATTGTGGGCTTGGGCTTTAGTTTGTTTGCCTACATGGGCCATAATCTCTACTATTTTAAAAGGAAGAAAGCTTCCTCCAAAGTTTGGTTTTGTAAGAACATCTCCAATTCTAATTTTATTATTTTTTTTTATCAATTTTTAATTTGATAAAAAATATTCAAAATTTTTCTTTAATTTATTTATCAAATGTTCATCAAATCAAATGAGAGACAGTTGAAGTTTTCATCAAATTTTAATGTTTATCAAATATTCATCAAATTAAAAATTCATCAAATCCTTCATAAAATCAAAACTGAATGGTGTTGGCTCCTAATGTACCCCTAGAGATATATCCTCTTGAAACAACAACACTTTGTGTTGGGATATTCTTATCTCACTTGATATTTCATTAGGAGCTTGTCTCATCTAAAATTGCTGTTGGCCGCCATGAAATTTAGTCACAAAATTACAAATTTATCAACAATAGTCGACATGAAAAGCTTCAAGTTGGAGAAGTTGAGCATTGCACCAAGCATGCATGCATTTCTCAGATGAATATAGTCACTGAAGCAAAAACTAAGTAACTTACAAAAGGTACAATTGTACAACTAATTAAAACCATTTACATATAATACAATTTACAATTCCTTCTTAAAACCATTTACATCAATATATATATATATATATATATCAATCAGTAAGATATATTTTCCGTTAAAACCAATATTTGTACATGAACACAAAACACATTGCAATTTACATAAAAGAATGTTCTTCCATGGAAAACAACCCATGCACAACACAATTCTTCAAACCACCCATTTTTCATGGAGACGTGAAAAAGAATATACTAACAAGAAGAACAAACCATTGTTTCAGAAACCTTTCCAGGCAGCGAGGACTTCGTGGAAGATTTCAGCGATAAGTTCCCTATCCGCGCATTGCATAAAGGAATTGAAATCATCGCGAATGTCGAATATCTTACCAAACTTCACAAGATAACGCAAGCAACTCGCCTTTAGTTTTGGCAATTGATATAGAGAAGCATTTTGAAGCCTCTCTAGCACATTCCTAGCATCAATATCTTCAAGAAGACTCTCCTGGCACATCTCTTTCAAGTCCAAGATGTCATACTTGTCAGCAGCTCGGAGAAGTGCCAGTCGGTGTGTCAGAAATTCTTGGTTTTGTATGTTCCCATATATGTAATTGAGAAAAGCCTGGCAAGCCTCACTTGACATGTCAGAGATGTTTATGGTGGACAGTTCCTTCTCTTTGAGGTCATGTGAGAACATGCTGCGAAAAACAGGTGACCGTGCAGCGAGAACTGCACGGTGAGCTCCAATGCTTCCATCAGAAGCGTTGATTACAATGTCGGTGTGAATGCCTTCGGATAACATTTTACCAAGGGACACGAGGGCAGTCACATTTGATTGCTTTTGCGTGGATCCTTCAGCCCAGATGGAGCAAGGTTCTCCACCCTGCATGTTTTATGAAGCATATTTGTCAGGTAGAGGATAGATGCAAATTACAATACTGTCAAAAGTATTACTGCCATTCCTGTTTCATTAGTGAAATTTCACTATTTCCATACAACTTTGTTATTTGTACTGTATAAACCTTTATTCTGATTTATAGATTTTGACAAGGGGATTAGGCATGATTATCACAGTTACCGATAGTGATTCTAAAATTCAACTGATCTCATATCTATTCTTTGCTAAACTTGAGGACAGTTTCAAATGTTTTCGTTTATATGCAATCATTCTATTAAAATAAAAGACGAGTGTAAAAGGTAGGTAACAGAATCATACCTCTAAAGGTACAATCTTCAAATCAAGGAATTCAATGTCAATTATGAATTTCCCCGTTAATGGAACCTCAATTGCCCAAACAAAATCGTCGTTATTCTTGAGCTTCTTGTCTGTAATTTCTGCATCGACACAAGATGACACCAGGTAAACAACATTGACGAAAGAAAAATTATCAATGATAGACTTGATGAATTTCTCATCCTTAATTTGTTCTATCAACAGGTGTTTTAATGCTAATCTGCAAAATTCTATACCTAGAATTAACACAATTAAGACTTTAAGGGCATCAATTACAAACAAAACATGCACAATTGGGTGTTGTAAGCACTAAGAAATTAGTACAAAGTCCTTAAAGAATCTAAAGAACAAGAAATTAAGAAACATCTAATTGTAATTTATATTACCTGGGTGAATCAAAGACTTGCGATCTCCCGCGGAGCAGACCACTCGAATGATAAACGATGCAATTGGAGGACTGTCTCTGGTTATATTCGATATTTCTGGGTACAGTTTAATGAGCAACGTTCGATTCTTCTCCACAGCTAAATGCCTTCAATTCAAATAACCAATTGAATAAAAAAAAAAAAAAAACCCCCACTCTGACCTTTGAAGACAGCATAAAAAAACTAAAAATAACAACTGCAAATCAAACAATTTTTTTTTTTAAAAAAAAAGGAAAAAAAAAAGCAGAGTTTTTCCAGGAAGAAGGAAAAAGGGATAATTTTCTTGTTAATATTATGTTTTCTTCCCGAGTTTTTTTTTTTTTTTTAAAAAAAAAAGGAAAAAAAAAGAAGAAGAAGAGTTTTTCCAGGAAGAAGGAAAAAGGGATAATTTTCTTGTTAATATTCTGTTTTCTTCCTGAGAAAATTCAACAGAAGTGAAGAAATTAAAATTCGTAATATCTATTTTCATAATCTGGGATCATATGAAACTTAAAGTCATCTCAGCTGAGCCAAAAAACTAAAAAGACTACTAAAAATTTCTGGGTATTTTAGTTTTTTTTTTTTACCCCATTGATCACAACACAACAACCAATTAACATATGATTCACAATCTATATTGACATATTCTACTCTTCTCCATTTTCTGAGCAACCAAACAAAACAGAGCTGAAATTCCGAAGCTGATCACAAATCAAATTCATGGAGGTCTATTCCGATTGCCTCCCGAGAAAATTCAACAGAAGTGAAGAAATTAAAAATCGCAATTTCTGGATTTTCATCATCTGCGTTCATAAAAAACTTGAAACCCATCTCAGCTGAGCCTAAAAACTAAAACGACAACTAAAAATTATAAAAAAAAAATCGGCTTATTTTACTTTTTTTTTTTCATTGATCACAACACCCAATTAACAAATGATTCACAATCCAATTCATCATACTCTGTTTTCTGAGCAACGAAACAGAACAGAGCCAAAATTCACAGGACGATCAAAAATCAAATTGATGAGGCGAATCACTCACCAATTCCACTTGCCGATCTTGAAAGGATCGGACTTACGGTAGGTACAGGAGGCCAAGTTGTCGATCCGCCATTGGGCGAGGCGCGAAGTCGTTTCAACACGGTAAGCAGAGGAATCGCTCATCCTAGCGAAGGCCAAAGCGGCGGCGATTTCATGGATGCAATCGAAGAGTCCCTCGAACAACAACTCTCCGGGCTTCCCCAGGTTTGCTCCTCTCTCTCTTCTCCTTCTTCATACACATTCACTCTCTCTCTCTCTCTCTTCTCTCTCTGCTTCTAACAAGTGTTGAAGAAGAAGGAGATGAAAAAGATTCTTGGAAACAATTGGGTATATAAAAATTAGATGAAGATTTCAAAAAATCTGTGTCACTTGCTTTTGGTTGGTTTGATTCTAGCGAGGGTTTCGGGCACGCAAGGATATTGATATTGCTTTACGCCATTGATGGTGAACTATGCAGGGGAGGGAAGTTTTTAGAGAGAGAAACAGAGTGTGTGTGAAGGAGTAAGGATCTCTCCTTTCTTTCTCTACTTCACTCCCTCCGAAGTAGATTCATTTTAAAAAAATTTAATGGTTCAGATTATTTTAAAAAAATTAATTTTTAGTTTTTTTAATTAAATAATATAAATCATTAAATTATTTTTAAATAAATCTTAATCATAGTAAAGAGATAGTTAAGTAGAAAAGCCAATGAGAATCCTTGCTCGTGTGTGAAGTGAGAGAGTGAAGGGGGGCAGGGGGTTCAGTTTGCTGATTTGTTGGGTTGCCTTCGTTTGGGTTACGATAAAATGAGATTTTTTATTTTTTTTTGTCGATAAAATGAGATTTTTTTTTTGGGTTAAAATAAGTATAGAAAGATAAAATAAAATTTTTAATTAATAAAATAAAATATCATATTTATATTATAATTATTTTTTTTTCATAAAAATTTTAAAAATTTATTCTAAATGAAACTTTTTAACATTCAAATTAAAATAATCAAAAAATTTAAAAAGTGAACTTACATCTCAAACGTTAATATTGGGGAATCCCATTGTCATCTCTCCATCAATGGTTTAATAAAAAAATATTTAGAAAAATATTTGGTAACTCAAAATTTTGTGACTTAAATGACTCAAATCTGTCAAAACGACGTCGTTTTACACTCAAAATATGTTAAAATGACGTCGTTTTGAGTGATTTGAACAATTTGAGTCACCAAATTTTGAGCTACATAGCATTGTTGAAATATCTATTATTTTTATTACTATTTATTTTTGATGATTTGATAAATGAAGAAAATTAGTTGAATATGGTAATGGGAAACGATTGGTATAACTAATTTTTTTTTTTTGTATAATTTTAATTTTTTAAATCATAATTAAAAAAAATGATCATAATTAAAGAATTTATAAGTTATAACTCAAGAAAGAAAATTGGTCATAATTAAAAAATATATATATATATATATAATTAGAGGTGCATATGATCTATTATTTTTAAAAAAAAAATATATGGTAATTGTTAACAGTTATTTTAATAATGTAGTGTATTGGCGTTTTTTTTTTTTGATCGTATGTTTATCTATACTTCTATATCTATACTTTCTTTATATAAACAAATGTAGGAAATATGAGAATTCTCTAAACTCTTAATACTAATTCTATGAATTCTCTCTCCTATGTGTCACTTTCAATTCTCCCCTCCCACTTTTCTTAATTTTAATCATTTGTCAATTATCTAAATCTCAAAAGTCAAAAGAATTATATATATTTAAATAAAATGATAAGAATTCTCCAAACTCTTAATACTAAATTCTTATGAATTCTCTCTCCTATGTGTCACTTTTCAATTCTCCCTCCCACTTTTCTAATTTTTAATCATTTGTCAATTATCTAAATTTCAAAAGCCAAAAGAATTATATATATTAAAAAAATGATAAATATTTAAATATGAGTAACAAAAGAGTAGAGATAAAAATATAAAATAAATAAAAATAAAAAGATAATATTCAAATTTCAATTACAAAATAAATAAAAAGAGTCAAATAAAAGATAAAATAAAATAAATAAATAAATAAATAAATAAATAATATTACGAGTCAATTAATTATAAAAATAAAAAGTTAACTATTATATATGAAAAATTAAAAAAAATTTAAATAAAAAATATTACGAGTCAAAATGATTTTTAAAATAAAAAGGTAATTATGTATATATGAATAAAAATAAATGTAGATGAAAAAATATACAAAAAAAAAATATAAACTATTTAATGAAAATTCAAATAAAAGATAACAAAATATTTAAATAAAAAAATAAGATTGGGATATAAATATCCCAAAAAGATTGATAATTTTTTAACGATCTATATTTATCTTTTGTTAGTTTGTTATAGAATTTCTATATATTTCAACTTAACTTTTTAAAGTTTATCTTTAAGTGGAACTTAATATTTTATCTTTTAAAATCATCAATTACTTATCCACACAAATTTTAAACATGATAGAATTCCATATATATCTTTTGTTTAAACATAATCTAAAATAAAAAAATAAAAAGATAAACTATTCAAATTTCAACTACAAAATAATATAAAGAGTCAAATAAAAGATAAAAATAAATAAAAAATAAAAAATATTACGAGTCAATTAATTATAAAAATAAAAAAGTTAACTATTATATATGAAAAAATTAAAAAAAATTTAAATAAAAAAATATACGAGTCAAATGATTTTAAATAAAAAAAAGGTAATTATGTATATATGAATAAAAAATAAATATAGATGAAAAAATATACAAAATAAAAATATAACTACTTAATGAAAATCAAATAAAAGATAACAAAATATTTAAATAAAAAAAAGAATAAGATTGGGATATAAATATCTCAAAAAGATGATAATTTTTTTAACGATCTATATTTATCTTTTGTAGTTTGTTATAGAATTTCTATATATTCAACTTAATCTTTAAAATTTATCTTTAAGTGGAACTTAATATTTTTTCTTTTAAAATCATCAATTAGTTATCCATACAATTTTAAACATGATAGAATTCCATATATATCTTTTGTTAAACATAATCTTTTTAATATAAAAACAAGTTCCTGCAAAAGAACCATGAATAGAAAAATTTGGGGGAAAACAATCAACATTGAGCCATTTCTGATCCCTTTTCGGTGCCTAAAAATCTTAAATATTTGCTTTACATTTGAAATGTGTACTTGCATGAGTTTTTGCATTTGTAAGAAAATGAGTTCATATAATGAACATTATTATTTTTAAATTTTTTTTTTTGGTTACAATCTGTATTTTCCTTATTTCTTTCTTTTTGTTAATAATTTGTCATTTAATTGAGATTTTATTCTTTTTTTATATTTATAAAAAGCACTGCTATTATCAATTTGTAACTCTCTCACTTATTGATTATTTGTGTTTAATTTTTTTTTTTTTTGGTGTGGATGTTAGATTGAAAATGAAGAATCAAAATTTATTGGATATGGTTATACTTTAAATGTGTTCATCAGTTGATTTTTTATTGTTGATTATCCTATTGAAATAATTCATGATTGAATTTATTTTTAGTAAACTCATTTTCTTTAGAGAACTAAATCACAAATTTCTTCTTTGTTTAAATTATTTATTATTTATTTAGATTCAGAGTTTGAGCAAATGGAAGATATCTCATATTTAAAATGTTAATTTTTTTTTGAATAATTAAATATTTATATTCTTTATGTTTGTCAATTCAAGTATAATGCATTTTCAAACATTTTTTTTAAAATTTTTTTATAATCATTCCAAACCTATTTGTGTTTAATGAATCAATATAATGAAAAAACAAATAACATGTAAAAAATTTTAACCACCTACTAACTAAATATAATGGGAATTAAAATTAAATTTATTTAATTTATTATATTATATGAGATGATTACTGTAATATCTACTATTGATTAAACAAAATTAGTGCTACTTTTATTTAATATATTAGTCATTTTGATTAATTATAATATGCCTTTGTTACTCTACTTTTGGTTTTCTGAAGTAATTCTTAGATAAATTAGCTATTATATATGTGATGATTTACTAATGTATGATAGTTTTTTAAAATTTTCAATAATGTGAAATATTAAATATTTTTAATGATGTGAAGTAAGATTTATATACACAAACCAAATAAAAATATTAAGAAATATAAACAAATAGTAAATTTTTTTATAGTAATTATTGACTTTCTAAAATCCTATGCATCGCACGGGTGACCACTAGTATAATAATATTAGAATGTGTGCATACTTGATGATTGTGTTGTGAAAATCAATCCGGTGAATATAAATATAGGATAAAATTTGTAAAAATGTAATAAATTTTATTTAATTATACTCACATCTCATTCAATAAGGTTAAAAACAAATTATCAAATAGAATCAAGGCATGTATGTATAGACATAGAAATAATTAAGATTAAAATATGTATTTAAGTAACGATACGGACACATAATCAAGATTAAATTATGAGACTCAATGTAAATTTTTTTTTTATTATAAAATTAATACTGTCTTTTAGTTCATTGAGATGAAAATGAAACAGAAAGTATTTTTATTTTTTAATGAATCAAATGTAAATTGAACCATCATTTTATAAATCAAGCACAATTCAAGGAAATTAGTGTAAATATGTCCTAATATTATATATATACCTCTGTGTGTATGATATGATGCGTAAGTTATTTGTATATAAATGTTTGCATCCTTGGAAAGGAACAGAATTTTCTTTATTGTTTTTGGTGCTTGCAAGCAAAGTATCTTCTTGTTGTTGAAATTACCAAAACTGTGCTTAAAGATTCCAACTATGGTTTCATTTGCATTGTACTACTCTTTTTCTCTCATTAGTGTCTTTAGCACCCAAAAAGAGAAAAAAACACTTATACATCATTTCTTTCTTGTTTTTAAAAACAAGAAAAGAAGCTAATGCCTCGTCAATTCTTAAAGTTCTATAAGATCTATTATATTTAAAAATAATAAGAAAATCTAACATGCACTAGCAGTTCAAGGTTTTTAGAGACTACAATAAAAAAATTAAAATGAGACCTTATGCGATTAAGCTTTTGAAAAATTGAGGTATTTGATAATAAGAATTTTTTGGTAACGGATAAAATAACTAAATAGTTGACCCACTTTTACTATCATACCACATGCAAAAATAAAATATTTAAACAAAATATTATAATTTTAAAAAAACCTCTACTTTCTCATCATTAATGACAAGGGGGTGAATAGGGTCATCTTCACCAATCTATTGATAGTAAGAAAAGGCAAGAAGAAAAGGACTTCTAATCTTTTTTTCTTTTAGAAATGAAAGTTGGTGTGCCATGTACACAATGGAGTATAGAAGTATTTATTGGAACAAAATGTGTGGTTTAGATACATTTGAAGTGCAGTGAAGTCACACTTTAATTAATCGAGGCTGTCCATATGTTTTTCTGTGATTAGTTTTGTTTTTTAAATTTGTACATTTAACAATTTTTCCTCACATAAATGGCTAAACCTCATGTATACACATACATGG